ACGGCAAACAAGAAAAGCATGTTGAGACAATCTTAGTAAAAACAGCAAAAGACAGTGAGTGAGGCGACCGATTAAGTTCGAAGCACACATTCCCCAACAAATTCAAGTCAGCAAAATCAAGCGGGACAACGCAAAGGTAGGGCTGTTTTAGTAAGCATTTTACGGCACTTGCAACACAATAAAGTCATATAAGTGCCGAAGAATACATGTGTTACAAGAGAGTAACATACACAAAAAAGGAGGAGAGATAAGGACGATAGATGTTTGATAGGAAAGAAAGAGCAAACCACACCAGCAGAATATCACCAAAATTGGAAAAGGTTTAACATCTGTAGAATAATTCTGTCATCTCCCAATGTCTTTCTAAGATAAAAAAATATCTCTATTGTTACGCAGTGTCCAGAACAAATAATAAGACACAATAATACATAGTAAAACAATAACATTAAAAGGAATAAATAAATCAAGACCGTTTGTAAGTCGGTTTGTTTGTTTGTTTGTTTGAATAAAGGGAAACACATCGACACAATCATGGTCATTTAGTGCTGGGGAAAAAGTAATAGACAGACAGAAACAAAAGAGAGAAAGTGCGAAGAAGTAGGGCCTACCAGAGGAGCCCTCCAACCAACCGCAAATTAAGATCCTAGAACACACCAAAGGAACAAACAAAAAGCATGAACGCGAGGACGCCGAACAAATTAGACAAATTGGACCAAACTGTCGGGGAACATTGTACAAATACATTTCATGTATCTGCCAAACTGGACCAGTGTACACCCAACAACTTATTATTCAAATAGTGCCGTAAATTGTATAGATTGAATGCACGACTTTGAGAGATTACACAGCACAAGAAAAAAAATAAAATGCAGAAAACATAAAGGGCGGGTCTTTTTCTGGTCCAACAATCTGGTCCACGAAACAAAAGCATAGGTAATGTCGCAATGAAATAAGAAAGCCCTCGTACCCAAACAATTTAACAATTAAAACGACAAACACGACTATAATAATAAACATACAAAATGGTCGGTTTTCATTGATAAAACTTTACATGCAACAGTCATTACAAAAATTCCAATTAATTCGCCTCTTTATAAAATATTATTGTAAACAGTTTCAATTAACTCGTCCCCTTGTAAAAAAGTATTGTAACAAGTCACAGTTGATTCGTCCCTTGTGCAAAGACACGATTAACTCATCACCTTGTATGGAAAGACAATATCTGCTGACACCTTTGTTTGAGTAAGTAAAAGCACGTCGACACAATAATGGTCGTTTACTATCTAGATCTAGTGCCGGGAGAAAAGTAAGACAGACAGACAGAAGCAACAGGGGGGAAGCAAAGATGTAGGACCTACCAGCGGCGCCCTCGAAACACCCGCTTCTATAGAGACTCATCTGACAGAAATCATACAAACGAAATACAGTAGAAGGGATAACGGAGATAGACTGACGTGTGATGGCAAAGAAGGAGCAAACTATACCAGAGGGCCCGCCAACCACCCAATTTACTGAAAAACGAATTGAAATGATCTGTAGTGTCCCCAAAATAGACACACCTTGACAGCAGGGGTATATGATGACTATTAATTAACTGCTACACCCCGAAAGTCCCGATTTTGCTAAAAATTTATGGCTTTCGAGTTGTAGGCATTTTTAGCTTCTTCGGGGTCTCCTACATCGCATAAGAACCCCCAAAAGCCTTATTTCCTCCCATACCAGGCATGTTTGTCACCACCATTTCCTCATAAAGTCAGTCTTTAATTATTTTTTGTAACGCCCGTTTTCTCAAAACGTGTTTTTAAAATATACTTTTTAAAAATAACTCCACCATTTTTCATCCCATCTTCATGAAATTTTCACAGAATGAAAAGAAGATATAATACTCGTAAAATCTATTTCCATGAAAATTTCATGCGGTATTCAGTACCTAAGACATGTCAACAACATCCAATACGGCCGCCGCATCCATGAAATGAAACTTTTTTTCCCAAATTTGACAGCTGATTTTAAGACTCCTTACTATGTTTGCTAAATGTGGGAAATTTGGCACAATTTGACCTCTTATAACCGAGATAGTCTTCAGGTGTAGCCCCCCCCCCCCCCTTAAAAAATGGTGTGAGACTCTAAGGACATACTTACAGCGCAGGATGGAACATCTCTTTAATTTTAATACGGGTTTTGCGGCACTTGCAATAACATAAAGCCATATATATAAGTGAAAAAATTAGAGGTGGTACAAGAGAGTAACAAATACAAAAAGGAAGAGAAATCAGGAGGAACGGTAAAATGTTTGACAGGAAAGAAGGAGCAAACCACATTCAGAGCACCCGCCAACCACCCACTGAGTGAGACTCTGGGGCCACGTAATAGCCCATTGGCACGATCGGGTCGGGTCGGTTCGGTTTGCTGGCCAGATTGACGGGCAAAGCGGTTATCATGGCACAAACCGATCGCCCGACTCGTCGCCACATACGGGGCGCCCACTGGGGGATCGGGTCGGGTCAGGTCGGTTTCCTAGCCAGATTGAGGGGGTAAAGCGGCTATCGTGGCATTAGCCGATCTCGTCCCGCTCGTCGCCCCAAAAAACAAACGTGTTTGTTTTCAGACGACGAGTCGGGCGATCTCTTGGCGATCGGTTTGTCGTTTCCTCAATGGGCACTCCGTAGAAAACACAGGATGGAACTCCTTGACGAAAGGTCGAACATTTCTACTGGGTACTGGCAAGCTCTCAGTTTAGTTTTAGTAAGTAATTGACTCGTCCCCTTGTGCAAATGTACAATTCACTCGTCCTCTTGCATGGAAAGGCATTATATAAGGAGACCTTTGTTTAAGTGAAGTAGAATCACATTGACACAATAGTGGTCATTTAGTGCTAGGAAAAAGTAATACAGACAGACATACAGAAACAATAGAGGGAAAGTAAAGAAGTAGGACCTATACCTGTTGCGCCCTACAACCATCCGCAGTTTAGTATTGAGTTACAGTTTTACGGCTCTAGCAACACAATAAAGGTAATATAATAAACGTGTAAGACAGCAGCAGGTGTTACTAGAGAGCAACAAACAAAGAAGTGAAGGAAAAGAGATAGCGTCGATAGATGTTTGATAGAAAGGAAGGAATAAGCCACACATGAGTACTCACCAATCACGCACGGCAAGTTCTCAGTTACGAAAAAGAAACTAAAGGTAAAAAGTTACGTGACACCTGTTCGATTATACAGGACAAAACCTGTGTCTAGAAATATTGCTTTATTTACTGCCTAGGGAAGCTAACATGTGGTCCGCAGGAGCAATAATAAAAGGCTTTTCTAATCACCAGGCAGAAAAACGTAGCACGCAAAAACTTAGCACGCAGGCGTCCTGCCTGTAACCTTCCTTATACACAACAAACACTTATACACACAAACAAACACACACACGCGCACACACACACACACACACACACACACACACACTCAAATACAGATACACACATAATCTCAAATACACACACGCAAGCACACGCACGCACACGCACGCACACGCAAACACGGGCAAAACAACCAAAAAGGGGCCGAAATAGCAAAGGATACAGAATGAAACATCAAAAAGATACTCGGTAATAGAAATGCGTTTAGTTTTAGATTGAGAAGGAATCTTACAGCACTTGCAACACAATAAGGTTATACAAGCGTTGGCCTTGGCGTCGGTGGCCTAGTGGTTAGGCTCTCGGACTCGCAACCGTAAGGTCGTGGGTTCGAATCCCGTCAAGGGCCCGACGTTGTGTCCTTGGGAAAGGCACTTTACACGAATTTTCCTCACTTCACCCAGGTGGGAATGGGTACCCAGCTATAGACAGCGACAGATCTTGTCAGTTTGTTAGTGTTTGAGCGCTTAATCAGCTGCTTGCACTGTATGCTTCCCGGGAAGCTGAGAATGTTTCAGAGTGTTCTATGGTCTGCTGGGGTAATAATATAGTGTAAAGCGCATAGAGCCTGCTGTTGAGCGGGGATATGCGCTATACAAATGCTATCTATTATTATTATTATTATTAAGATAAGAAGAGCTATTAAAGAGCAGCATACAAAGAAAAGAAGGACAAATAATGACAGCAGATATTTGATAGGAGAGAAGGAGCAAACTCTAGGAGCCTAGAGCAAACCCCACCAGAGCGCCTGCCAACCAGCCACGCACACGCTGAAGCAGCAGTTGGGTATTCTAATCAAAGAAGGAGACCGGTGACGTTTTCAAACCCCACATTACATTGTTAATTGTTTTTCCACCCCATGCGAATAACACGAATATAATAGTTCGTTATTATGTACCCCCCCCCCAAAAAAAAAAAAGCCTTCCCCTTCCTTTACTTCCCTTTTCTTTTTTTTCCGAAATGACTCATAGCCCAAAGGGGCATGCTATTCCAAGATGAAACCTGAACTTTCATAAATCAGGTCCTGATGATAACTAAATGCGCAACATCGGCAGGCAAATATTAAACACATTGTCATAAAAAAAAGAAACAAAGAAAGAATAAATGAAAGAGAGAATGGAAAAGAAAAACGTAAAAATAACAAAGATGAGTTTCATTGTTAGATCGCAATTTGGAATACATGAACGTCAAACAAAAAGTGGACGACGATAAAAGGCAACTCGATACGAATCAACTACTTCTCACAGCGGGAGAGCTTCGTAATGGCGTACACACGATCGACAAGACATTTTTCCCCTTCCCTCTATATTCTCTGGTGGCTCGCATCCCCACCCACGGGAATCGCGTCGCATAAACCACACAGAACACCCCCCCAAAAAACCCGCCTACAACAGGGAATTCGAAACGAGAAAAACTGCAACAACAGAGGAATAAAATCCCCATCGAGCAAATCTTCGTCATCAGCGGCCTCATCTATATTCATCAGAAAGCGGACATTTCCATGGATCCATTTCCAGGAGTTCACTGGAGCAAAGTCTCTCCCTGGGCCGGAAAACAGCTCCCGGGGCCCCCACTAGTAAAGCTTACCTTTCATTCCCACACGCCAGCTATCTCTGCAGTTTGCCAAGGAGCTTGAGTGGGGGCGCCCTTTGTTCAGTCCGTGTCGCTCTGAACTGTCACGTGGGTGGAACTGGTTCAAATCTTGATAGGGAACCCTGTAATCACCAAAATTGAAAAAAAAAAACCTGTCGGGATTCAAGATGACATTGCCCACGCCCATAGGGCCATATAACCATACACTGCACAGATCATACAGAGCAGTTAAGAACTTGGTTATCAGGGTAAAAACAATGCTCCGAGGGGTACATATTATTATCAGCAGTCAGACTAAAATACCTCAGATAAAACATCCCACCGCAAAAGAGAATAGAACTCTCAGTTTTTGTCACTACGTGAAGGCCGTTACGTCTTTTAATTTTAGAAAGAAGTTACAAAAGTGCTGTGTTAAGATTTTATTTTTCCATTTTTAGTAAAACGACTTTGTTTAGTTTCGTATGGGTAAAAAGAAGAACAATATAGACAGGACAATGTAAACTTTGGGAAAGGAAAGAGAAACACAACAGACAGAAATGAAAGAGGGAAAAGAACGAAGTAAGACATACCAGGGGCACCTTCATACAATCTCAAAATCAACTTCCGCGAAAGGAAGTCCATTTTATGGAACAGAGTGGACATGCAATAATTATATGTCCAGTGCTAACAAAGTAATTCTAGAAAATAGAAAAAAAAGGGGGGGGGGGGGGGC